TCCTATGGTGTTCTGGGAGGTTTCTTCCTGGTTGCAGTGGAGTTGTGCATGCCTGTTAGTCCATTGCTAGGTGGTTGCTAAACATGTGCTAGGCTGTTCTGGATGGTTACTGCGACATTACAAGGAAGTTTCTAAGGATGTCGTAATCTGAGTGGTTGTTAGAGCATTGATAGGGTGTTCTGGATAGCTGCTAGTTAGTTTTTACAATGTTCTGGCTGTTTACTAGGGTGTTGCTAGGTGGCTGCTAAGGTTTTCTGCGTGCTTGTAAGAGTGTTGCTAGGCTGTTGCTGCTGTGCTCTAATATTTAAGGCACTGATAAGGTGTTTTGGGTGGTTGCTGTGGTGCTCTGAATGGCTGTTATTTGGCTACTGAGGTGTTATAAGTGGTTGCTAGGGAAATTTCACGAATAATCAATATTGTTTGTTGACTTCACGCTAAGGTGAATAACAAAAACTAATATTTTCATCAACCAATTAACTGCAGACACCACTTTATCTTTATCTAATACATGATAAGGTCCAAGTATTGATAAAATCGAGCCTCAAAATGTCCTTCAGCATAATGTGATGTAATCATATTCTTCATTCAATTTTTACTTCATGTGCTACAAGCAAAAATACGCTGCGCAAGCAGAATTTCCAGGTAATTCTGTACGACAGCAGGCTACTTCACCACATGATTGAGTCGGGGAAGACAAATAACGTTTGCATTTCCTGTTTGTCGGGAGCGTATTGTGGATTTGTAGTCATCAGCAGAGAGGCCAGAGATGTGAACGGTCAGATTGGATGGTATTCAGGTATAGATTTCATGTCATCTTAAGAAATAACCCTGAGCCCAGCTTTCCTCTAGCCGTTAGTGGAGATGTATTCAGAATCGAAGGCAGGCGGCAGCTTGAGAAATACAAAAGTGTTTAGCGGCCAAGCACCTTAATAGGGTAGACGACAGCTTCTTTGACTAATCGCTTGGCAGCCTCCAGGCCTATAATGTCGTCCCAGCGCACGTTGGGGTTGTGTAAATAGATATCCTTTATGGAGAGACAGGAGAGAAAGATGAAATGGAGTGCTTCAATAATACATGTTACAGCTTGTGTATGTATCTGCACACACACACACACACACACACACACACACACACACACACACACACACACACACAGAGAGAGATTGACGTACTTTACTCATGTATTAAGATTAGCACTTTGTTTTATTAAATGAAATGTTGATGAAGAGAGGAATCCCCTCGTATATGTAGGCAGGACATCTAGCTCAGAGACATGCCTAAATCAGGGGTGGGGCTATTTTGAGAGTCAAATAGTCTCATTGGGTTGTGTAACACTATATTATAAAACAGACTGTATGCTGCTCTCTAGTGTTGAATCAGTGTTGGAATGGCACAGTATTTTTCATTATCAGAAATGTATCTAATTTTCATTTTTTTGTCTTTAAAAGTAAAATATTGTATAAATGTGTGAAACATCAAAATCAAATGAATGAAGATGAAGCTTATTTTAGACCCATCAAGATATTTTGCATTGTGACATTATTTTTATGACATATCCCCTCCTAGTTCTCATATAGTGAAAAAAAAAAAACTGCAATTAATTGTGGTGCTTCTTGTTGATTTTGAAGTAAAAATACTCTTTTCTGATACAATTTTAGTAGTGAATCTTTATTCAGTGTGTGGACAGTAATTTCAATTTACACAGTAATTTTAAAACATGATTTTGTCAATACAGATTGATTTTGTATTACTGTACTGTATTACTGTAATGAAACTTTAATAAGAATCATCATTGAGAAAAATGAAAATGATCAAAACAAACAAACAAACAAAAAAGCTTTATGGTTGTGAGGATTGTGGGGGAATGTGCTTAACTGTCATTAATATCACATTTAAAAAAAAATTAAAATAATCATAGTAGTCCTGAAAAAGCTTCATTGTCTTGTGTTTTTTAATATTACTTGAATGGTAAAATTACAGACTTCATAATATTTCCCTAATATAGCATCAAACTGCCACACAAGGGAAGTAATTTCATAAACATTGACTTACTCTGCTAATAACCGCTGCAAGTTCCCTCATGTCACTGTTCATCCCAATGAAGGCACTCATGGGTTTCAGCAAACGCTCCTGTCAGACAAAAGCATGAGGGATGTTTCAGAATCATTTTCTATCACAGCTGCTTCCAACAGAGCTTCAGTTGCTTTGAACCTGAATGAAACACAGTTGACCTACTGAGAAATCTGTGCAGGGCAGGACTGAGTCGTTAGCGGCACCTTTAACTGCATCAGGAATCAGACTCCTGTAATCAACCTGATGAAGAAAGAAAGAAAGAAAGAAAGAAAGTCATATGGGTTTTAAACTGCATGAAGGTGAGTACAGTACAAGATGACAAGATATTCTTTTTTGAGGCAAATAAACAATCCTTAAAAAAGAAAGACCTTTCTCATGTGTGTTCCCTCTTCTGCCCCATTCCTGATGAGAGGAGACACATTCAGACCGAACCCTGATGCGTCCGCAGGCGTCAGCTGCTCTCCTTCCTGGACAGATCATGCAAAGTGACTCTTTCTTGTGTACAGAGTTTATAATAGTTTGTTCAAACCAAAAGAAAAAAAGATGTTTGTAGACTTACACTGGATTTGCTGATGTCTCTTCCTGTTAGTTTAGATTCCGTCTTTTTAACAGTGTTTCTGGATGGAGGTCGCTGGATGGAGCTGATTTTTGGGAGTGTGTGACTGGATGATGACGTCCTTTCACAAATGAATACACACATGGTGAATAAAAACAACATTATACTGAGTCTTTGAATGTTCTTGTGGTAAAAGTACTATACATACCTTCTTTTACCACAGCTCTTTACAAGCCGACTCTCTCCTATAAAGAAAAATGACTAAATAAAAATAAATATGACTAAATAATAACCTTTAGTAACAGTTTTAACAAGTATTATTACACTATATATTGCTTAACAATTCATGTTTTAATGTACATGCAAAAAAATACTATATATATATATATATA